GTGTAAATGTTTATTTTGTAAAATTATAAATTATTTATTTTGTAAATATATAAAATTATAATAAATAATAATGACTAATTTGATAAAAAAGTTGTATAATAAAATTGTGTTTAAATAGAATAAAAATTCGGATTGCACCATTTTAGGATGTAATTATGGCGTAAGTTGTTAATTGGAACTGCATGTGTTTGTGTGTGTGTGTGTGTGTTTAAATAAATAAATATAATAAAATCGAAGAGTGTATAGTAGCTGTTGGTTAGCTAGAAATCGGAATACATGCTTATCACATTCCTTATAAATGCTGTTATCTGTTTTGCACAAGCCATTACCACGTCGTTGGCCGGGCCAGGATGCAGACACATAAGGTCTGTCAAGGCCCCAAGCTCGAGCTCCAGACAACGCTTGACGATACTGATTTGGGTCACCAATGGCTGAAGATAGCCACAATTTCTTTGCTCCCTTAGGTAGTTCTGGTGTGCCTCCAACAGGACCTGGACAAGAGACTCCAGCACGCATATCTTGAAGACTATCATGTTGGGCTGCTTGCGCAGGGCTTCGGCTTGAATCTGCAGTAAACGTTCCTCATCAGAAACCGCATATTGCTCTTGCTGCTGCTGGAGTTGCTGTTGTCCCAAGTTCGGGGCTTGGAGCTGGGCTGCATGGGCTGCATAGGGTGCATGGGGTGGCCGCCCTTCTTCAGACAGCTTATACATTTGGTCCAGGTGCAACTGCTTCTCCAACTCCTGCACATCAATGAATTGCGGCTGTCTTGGAATGAAACATCCGTTGCGTCCTTTGCCGATGCCTGCTCCGGCGTTTTCAGTGTCCATGGCTTCTCTGATGCCTCCATCGGAACCACCGCCAATTTCGCCGCTGATGCCGTCGTTGAATCTTCCACCAGCAGTGGTCGGTGGTTGCAGTGGTTCATGAACCCCATGAGGTGGCCATTGGCTAAATACAGGTGCAGTTTCTGGCTGCAGCTGTGGTGCCCCATTCAAATGGTGCTTGTATGGCACATGAGGGGCGTAGCAGTGTGCCTGCAACATGGGCTGATCTTGTGGTGGCAGTCCATGCCTATTGGGATTATAAGCTGGATTGCCGAAGAATACTGGTGGAACTGGCACAAAGTAAGAAGCCATCGGTGATGCTGGCGGTGATGCTCTGAATGCGTTTATGTTATACAGTGGCAGAGCCTGTGGCAATTGTTGTTGAAAGTTTAGTTGCACCATGGTTGGATACATGTAGGTGCCTCGAGAAAGGTAGTTGTGCGTATAGTGGGGGAGTGGTGGGAAGCCCGGTGGCGGTGGCAGAAAATTATGACACCGCTGCCTACGAGCGTCAAATTAGATACATACGTAGGTCAGGAAAACAATTAATTAGAACATACGATCTACTTACTTTTGAGGTTGACGTGGTGGGCGAGACATTTTCTTGCTTTTGTGCCAACCCATTAGCCAATTTGCTCAATAAAATATATATGTATATTAATGCAATTTTTCGCAAAGTGCGTCCGTTTGTGGTAACACGTGCAAGCAAAAAGGGCCAGTGTTGAGAAGTGTTGCAGTAGTGCTTGTCGTAGTTGTAACTACTCGGTGTAATCCACCTATCGGTCACTTGTTACGACTGTGACAAACAATATGTTTGTTTCAAAATACGCAGAACATTTATGTTGCTTTCATCATCGCTTACATTTGGAAATAAGTAAATGTGATAGGGTACAAAATCTTTTGTCTTGGGTCACCTGTGAACGATGCTCGATACTTTGCTACCGCTATTCTAATTGGAATTTTGTCAAAACAAATAGCGTGGCCACGTAGTTTTCATCTAAAAAGAAAGAAGAAGACGCTTGCTTAGGTTGATAACTTGCTATGGACAGACAAAATTAAGAACCGAACTGGTGCGAAATGAAGTGGAAAGCGATCTAAACGTACTATCCACAACGCCCTCGCATAATTACAGCTGAAAGCGTTGGTTACACTTCCAAATTGGTACTCTTCAAATGGTGTCTAGCGATATGTACTTAATATGATTAAACATATATTTGTGAAAGATGGAGGCAACCACACTGCACACTCTTACACTCTTACTATATACCACAAACCTTTTTTGCATACCAACAATCTGTCCACCCACACCCACACCCACACCTCCACCTTCTTCAATCACAACCAAATTGCTGTTGCAAATATAATTAAAAGCGTGCTGCGCTGCAACTAAATAACTAAAATAACTGCGGCTTGTGCAATCAAAGTCACTTTGCTTGAAAATTCACTTATTTTCGTAGAGGCGCCCAAATCGGGACAACTCCCCAACTCCCTAAACGACAACAGCAACAACAACAGGAAAATACATACATATATACATATGTATGTACAAGCTGTTAAACCAACAACAAGAACAGGTAAAAGAACATGAATAACAAGAAGAAGATGAGGGAAGATGAGGCAGAAGAAGAAGAAGTGAAGAAGTGAAGAAAGCAACACCACCACTTACGCAAATCAAGCAAACCAATAAAGTCAAAGGCACCAACACTTAGTGCGTTCTGCTTCAGCTCCAGCTCCAGCTTCAGCTCCAGCTCCAAAGTCAGCTTGAGAGCCAGTTCTAGACTACTCTGCTGTGCCTAGCATATATAGTACATACATACATATATACATACATATTTACATACTATGTACATAGGTTAGAACATACGAGTAAGTAAGTTGCCTGCTCGCTTACCGTTCGAGCTGCGTTTGTGGGTGAAAAGCACTTTTGACGCTTGTTTTAATGAAATTCATTGCGTCAACGTCAACGTCAACGTCGACGTTGAATTCGCTGCCGGCGTCACTGGCAACCTTTTACCAAATGAACACAAAATTTTCGTCAATGTGAAGAAGAACGCCACAGAACCCACTTTCATGCTCCATAAGTAAATTCATTTCGCCGCCCGCCCCGCGTTGATTTTAATGAAATGTCATCAACTTTGAGGTGTTTATTGCGCTGACAAGCCAAGCGGACGGACGGGCAGGCGGTCGGGCGGTCGGGTGGTCGACAGAGGCATCTTTATACACATCCACATCGACAGCAGCAACGACACACAAAAACCCTTTGAGCAGCAGCCCCGTAAAGTAATCTTTGAGTCTTACTGTCAACCATACTCATCTTTGCCACATTACGTTGGGTTTTTTTGTTGTTGTTGCTGTTGTTGTTGTTGTGGTGCTGCTACCAGCCTCCGCTTCGGATTGGGATTGGGCTTGGGTGGCATGGCATGTGGCAGGTGGCTGGTGGCTGTTGGCTGGTGGCAGGTGTCGGTCGTGTGTGTTGGGATTTTCATTTGAAAAGTTGCCTGTGGGGCGCAATAGAAAAGCAGCAAGCATTTTCATGTATCATAAATTGTCTTCCACTTAAAAAGTGATTACGTGTACGGAGCGGAGCGGAGCGGAGCGAAGCGAAGCGCACCCGCAACCTGACAGTCCCCTAACAGCCCGCAACCTTTGGCGCATCGAAGGCGCAGCAATTTATAGAGCTCGGCAGGCACTTTAGATAAACAATTTTCGTACAAGTTGTTAACTTTTACGATGACTCATTAATTTTCTAAATTTTAGTTTTATTTATATTGGTGATACACATACTAAGTACATATGTATATGTTTCTATATATGTATACTACATACATATACTCTCTTAGAGGCAGCTGCCTGTTTGTCATCTTGCGACCCTTTCTCTTGGCGGGGCCAACGCCAACGCCTCGTGTTAAACTAGTTTTGCTGAATTGTTGTTTGGCCAAAGTTGTTTGTCGATTTTAATGATGTGGCACTATGCAAAGCATTAGAATTTAATGCCCCTATCCTTCCACACCCGATCCCTTCCCTTTTCTAACAAACCTCCCTCTCCCTCGCCAGCGCCACAACCATCGCCACATTCGCACACAAAACAAACAAACAGACAGACAAAAGCATTTTCACTGCTTTTGTTTCCCCAAAAATCATAAAGTCTGTAACTGTAACTTTTTGCATCAGTCCGTGTAGTATGTATGATTATTTGTGTAGGAATGTGTACTTTTTGTTACACACAAAGCACACGGTTATGGATCACTAAATACTGTGTCACAATTTCCGAATGTGCAGCACCTCGTATCACGAACAACAACAATGCTAATAGTGTGGAAAGAATGGCTTATAAATCCAAATCATGTGTGACTAAGAAGTGCATATAAATTGTGAATTCATTTCACTTACTATACAGCTGAAATATAGCAGTAAACTGTAAGAGAAAGAAGGCTGCCCTTTTAGCACCTTTCTACTTAGAGTCCACATTTGAAAGCTCAAAGAATTAGTATTTTGTTACTTATACTAGCCTGAGCTTAATTGGTTTCACTTACAGCTCTTGTGTTGTTAAAAACATGTTGTATTGTACGACTACGTGTTGAAGACTGCAAATATATAAATAACTTGCTCGAATCTCAATGAATTCAACATACCAATTGGGTATTCTTCCTTATTGGTGGAGTTGAAAGCTACCAAACAATTTATTGGAGGAGCGTTGCAGTCTGCTCTCGAAATAAGTACGAATTTTCCATTACTTTCTGTACAAATAAAAACATATTACAGGAAAAAAACCGCCGTATTTAAGTAGAGTACATTTGTACTCAATTGAATATCAAATTGGTCTTAGTCGTCTCCATATATATTTAGATCAGGGACTGGCCAACTCTCGTATTATAATTATTTTGAAAGTAAAATTTGAAACAATATTAATCGAACTTACATTTGAGAAAATACTTCTAATACAATTTTGTGGATATTTCAGTTCATCATGTTGGTTTCGTTTTATAACAATCTATCATTTACTTTGCACTCATCTCAATTGTCATTTGGTTAGAATTTTCAACTCGGATTTTTTCATAATTCACCGATAGCTCAACACGTATACACGTCTACAAGTCTACATTGAATATACATTGAATTTAACATTTAAAAAACCAAACAGTTTTCTGTGCAACAGCCCATCTAATTGAAAAAATGGATCGCGTAAACAAGAAACAGAACAAACCAATACCAACCATCCCTCGTCCTTCCCAAGGAGCCATGACTGCAGCTCGCACCGCGGCTGCCAGTTCCGAGCCACAATCGCGCTCAAGGGCAACAGTGATGACGCCAAATGCAGCCTTAGCTGCTAGATCATCAGCTGGAGGCCAAGGTGCCGGGCCGAGTGGAGCACCCGCTGGTGCTGCCAACAAAGGAGGACGTGGCTCGAACACCCTGAAGGGGATCGAGCGCTTGCGAGAGGCCCGTGAACAGCGCCGCTCTGAGATGGAGGCCTCGCGCCTGGAAAAGAAGGCGTTGATGGACAAGGATCCGGGCAATCCCAACTGGGAATTCCGCTACTTGATAGAACAGGAGCGCAAGATATTGCAGCTCTCACCCATCCGCACATTCGAGAGGGGCTACATGCGGAATGAACAAATCATTGTGTGTGTGCGCAAGCGCCCGATAAACGAGCGCGAGCTGGCCAACAAGGAAACGGACGTACTGTCCGTGCCCAGTGCGGACAGACTGATCCTTCATCAGCCGCGTGCCAAGGTTGACACAACCAAGTATATTGAGAACTATAGCTTCCAGTTCGACTTTGCTTTCGACGAGGAGGTCCCCAATGAATTGATCTACAAGTACACATGCGTGCCATTAATCCACAGTGCTTTCCAGGGCGGTAACGCCACCTGTTTCGCCTACGGCCAGACCGGGTCAGGAAAAACATTCATAATGACAGGTGGCGGCCGCCCTGGTGCTGTAAAAATGAAAGGCATCTTTGCTCTAGCAGCGTATGACATTTTTGGCTTGCTACCTAGCAAAGAGATAGCTGAACATGGCCTGAGCGTGTCCTGTAGCTATTTTGAGATCTACGGCGTCAAGGTCTACGACCTGATGAGCTCCAAGAAGCCGGAACTCAAGATGGTGGAAGACAGCAACCAGGCCGTACAACTGCTGGGATTAACGGAGACGCCGGTGCATTCTGTGGACGATGTTCTGAACTTGATTGCCTTTGGCGACAACAATCGCATGATGGGCCAAACTGCGGTGAACGCGATCTCCTCACGCTCCCATGCCGTTTTCCAGATAAAGCTGATCAAGGCGGACGGTACCACGGTACACGGCATGTGCTCCTTCATTGACTTGGCGGGCAATGAGCGCGGAATCGACAACGCTGCGGCGGATAGGAGTACACGATTGGAGAGCGCAGACATTAACAAGTCGTTGCTTGCGCTCAAGGAGTGCATTCGCGGCCTGGTGCGCCAGACACCGCATCTGCCATTCCGCGACTCAAAGCTCACCCAGATACTACGGGATTCATTTGTCGGCAGCAAGAAGAATCGCACCTGCATGATCGCAATGCTCTCTCCTGGTCATCAATCCTGCGAGCATACGTTGAACACCCTACGCTACGCTGAAGCTGTCAAAGGACTGGGCGCGAAGAGGGACGCACTGGAGAAGAGGACGAGCTCGGTGACGAAGGGAAAGCGAAACTAATTGTCCCAGTTACGCCATTTAAACACTCACTCATACACAAAAAACACTAGAATGCTAAACTTTCCACTGTTTTTGGACACTGCTAATCAAAATTTTGTTGAGCCCATCGTACACAACTCGAGTTACGAGTAGGATTCGATACAAGAATAGTTGTACACAACTTTCTAGTGGATCTCTGGACCTACTATGAAGTGACATGACAACGCCACTCAGGTCACGTAATCCTGTAACCTGCGAATACCCATGAAGGCACATGATAAGGCCTCTAATGTCAGATGCCTCTGTGTTTTGTTGAGTGTGCGTTTTTTAATATGATAAATATATACATACTTGTGTTTTCGAAACAGTTTGTGATTTGCTTTCTACTTATTTAAAAGCTGTTGTTGTTTTGTAAAAGTCCTTTACTGAATTCGGTACAATTGAAGAATTTCTTCTTGCTTCTATTTTGCTTTTATTTCGTTATTTCTTTGTTTCAACGAAGTGCACTATAAGTATGTTTTAAGAATTGAATGGCCCATATTCCAGGTTCTATACACGTCTTCAGTATGCCATGGCCTGAAATATTGCTCATACGTTTAAAGTCCTAATACTAATATTAAAAAACTAATAAGCAGACCATTACATATAAATTGTCCATTATTGGGATAGTTCTTAGTATTGTGTTTCTCCACAATTTATTGTTGGGAACGTATGTTTCTCTGCCATTTTGAATAGTCTAAGTAAATCAGTTCTTTGTAAAAGAAAAATACACATTTTGCAAGACACAAAATAGGGGTTTTTGAAATATAAAAGTTGTGATTATTATATTTTTAATTATTACATTTAGGTTGTTCAATACTTACTTGATAAACACTTTAAATACATATGAATCTGAAAAGCACAAGGGTATATTGTTATGTGTAATTTGTAATATCCAGAAGGACGAATTGGTTTAGGTATATCTATATATGATCAGCGATGTTTCTCTATCGATTTGTCTGTTTCAATCACTACTCCTTCCACTGTTTGACAGCTTCTTTTTGAAAGCGCGATTAAAAAACTAAATCATATATCTGTTATACATTATTTAAAATTATTTTCCTTATTTACATAGCGATATGGAATTCAAATTGGATATTGAGAATGTTGTAGTCATATACGATGGTAGTCGATAAAATAATGAAAATATATATTTTTTAAATCATTCTAACAAAGTAGAAGAATAGCCCCATTACAGAGCATTAAGTAATTAATTTTAATAGATTCAATTTAAGGTCGTTCCGGGGACATTAAAAAAAAAATAATTACCTGCATATCCCCATATATTTCACATAAAGAATTGCTGCAACATTGGCGACAGACGTCGTTCGAGTAATCAGCTTGTCGTTGGTAAGCGGCTTGCATCGAATGCAATAATAATAGCAACAACAACAAGAAAAGTCATAACAACAATAGCAAATCAAATTGCAAGGGTCGTTGGCAGAGCCCTAATGTGAATTGTTATGTATGTGTGTGTGTGTGTGTGTGTGTGAATATTTTGCCACAAGACACAAAAACAATGAAAACTTTTGATGTAAGTTGTAAATATTTGACACACAACACATTTATAGTTGAATGTGCGCGAGTGTGTGTGTATGTGTGTGTGTGGGTGTGTGTGTGTGGGTGTGGGTGTTGGTGTTGTTGAACAAATCGCTACAAAATGTAACTACTTAACAGCGTCAACATTGACTGCTCGTTGGCGTCGAGTCGAGTCGAGTCGAGTCGAGTCGAGTCGGGCCCTCGGCATAATGATTGTCAGTCAGGCCAAGCGCTTGGCAAATTAAGGAATTCCACTGAGTGCAGAGAACAAACCAAAAAGCGGCAAGTCACGCAACAATAATTTGCCCACCGAACGCCCGCCTCCAATCCCCAACCCCCCCCCCCCCCCCACCCCTTAATCCAGCAATCTCAACACGCTTGCTGGTCAAACGTCATTGGCCCCCTCTAGACCCCTCTTTGCCAAATGCCAGCGCCTGTCTATCAATGAATTTTTACAGAGTACATACATACGCACATACATATATACATATATATACATGTAGTGGTGTAGGACTATGCCGTACTTTATTATTTCTTATTGAATAATTATGGGTCATTTGTACGCGTGGGCGTTGCGGAGGCGGGGCGTGGCAGTGCAGCCAGCGACAGCTGCGATAGCATCACACAGCACGCCATATCCACCCCCCATCCCCCCACCTCCTGCTCTGCTCTCCTCTCCTCCTTTCTCCCGCCCAATCGTGGCTGGTTTCTATCGGCGTCGCCACTGCCACCCAAGCGTCGCTTCACGTGCTTATCTTGTTTCCGTTACTTCATTTAAAAGTTAATGACTGCTTTTAATGTGCGCCTCCCTTCCTCCCTTCCTGGCTGACACGACCCCGACGTCAATCCGACACGATGGCCGCTACTTCAGCTTCCTGACACTTATCGAGGTGGTCGCTGCTTGCTGCTCGCTGTGCGCTGTTTTTGTCACCCAGCTGGCCACCCAGCTGGCCAAATTGATTAGGTTTTAAAAAAATCATTGCATACATTAGGGCGTATCAACTTTGGCATTGCTGGCCTGGCTGTCTGCCTAGCCGGCCCGTCAGGCCCGTCTGGCCCGTCTGGCTTGGCTGCCCCAACTGGCCATTAAAAGCGAAAATGTTTTACAAATTGAAAGTCACGCAACAATTGACCAGCCGGCCGCATGCCGAGGGGGTTCCCCCACCCCCCCTTGCCCAACCATGTAACCACCTCTAGAGCCAACAACAGAAGGAACGAAGCAACAATGTTGTGGTCACCTTTTGTGGCAGCGTGCTGGCATTTGACGCTCTTTGGCGGTTATGGAGTGGGCCGGCTCTGGGGCTGGTTCTGGGCCTGGTACTGGGGCTGGAGTAATGGGGGGCGTGGTGCCAAATCGCATTAATGTCAGTTGTCTCGCCTGCTTGCAGCTATTAACGGAAAATGTTATTGAATCATTAACACCTTGAACGCTCTACACGGCTCTGCTCTGCTCTGCTCTGGCCAGACGTCAGCCTCGGCGCATGAATAATGCCATAAAGTTTATTAGAAGTCACTCAGTGGCAGCGGATGTGCGAGTTTATTACCAACTGTAACGACCTGCATGCCACGTTTTGTGTTGCTTTTAGCTTCTTTTTTAAATTGTTGACTTCTGCTTTTGAAACTAGTCGAGTGTCTGAGGAGTGAAGGAGCAGTGGAAGGAGTGGACCAACTAACTCGTGCAGTATAGCGATCATTTAAAGAAGCCCATGCTGGTTGGCGGGGGGCATACACCATTTACACTTATAAAATATGCACGAGTCGCGTGCTCGCTTTCAATAAATATCACAAAGTACCAATAAGGAGCAGCGCTAAATGCTGGAACGGCAAAAACTCTGCCAGAAATGCCTAAAACCAACTGCAAAAGAAATGAACAGAAGAGCTAGAGAAACCAACAGCGGGTGGTGCTCGTAATGGGTCAGCGAGCTTTGACAGCAGTAACGGTAAAAGGAACGGCACTTAAGTGACCCCAAGGAGTCGAGCACTTTTATTGAACCCGAATGTAACGCTTTAAGTGGGCCAGCAGTCGGGCTTAGTCGGGCGATGCAAACATTTAAAGTCTAGACACTGAATGAAACAAATCCGTGTTCAATTTTAAGGAAGGGGCGGAATAATGCGAAGATTAGTTAACTATGCTAATTCGTAATGTTTATCTATGGGCATTTTATTAATAAACTAGTTTAATGGACAACAATTTAAAGCTAGCTGAAAAGACCATTAACACAATTCATATTTTGGGGCTCGATGTTTTATTCAAGTAATGTTATACGTAAAGGGCTTTTTATGTTGGAATATTCCATGCGAACTTTGGGACTCTACTTTTGAAGTCTGAAGGACAAACTTTTCTTCAAAATAAATAGCCCTCTACATTTTTTTCACTGATGAAGAAGTACTAGAATTTCTAGAACAGATTGAACTATAGGATTCTACTTTTGAAGTCTGAAGGACAAACTTTTCTTCAAAATAAATAGCCCTCCACATTTTTTTCACTGATGAAGAAGTACTAGAATTTCTAGAACAGATTGAACTATAGGATTCTACTTTTGAAGTCTGAAGGACAAACTTTTCTTCAAAATAAATAGCCCTCTACATTTTTTTCACTGATGAAGAGGTACTAGAATTTCTAGAACAGATTGAACTATAGGATTCTACTTTTGAAGTCTGAAGGACAAACTTTTCTTCAAAATAAATAGCCCTCTACATTTTTTTCACTGATGAAGAAGTACTAGAATTTCTAGAACAGATTGAACTATAGGATTCTACTTTTGAAGTCTGAAGGACAAACTTTTCTTCAAAATAAATAGCCCTCTAAATTTTTTTCACTGATGAAGAAGTACTAGAATTTCTACAACAGATTGAACTATAGGATTCTACTTTTGAAGTCTGAAGGACAAACTTTTCTTCAAAATAAATAGCACTCTACATTTTTTTCACTGATGAAGAAGTACTAGAATTTCTAGAACAGATTGAACTATAGGATTCTACTTTTGAAGTCTGAAGGACAAACTTTTCTTCAAAATAAATAGCCCTCTACATTTTTTTCACTGATGAAGAAGTACTAGAATTTCTAGAACAGATTGAACTATAGGATTCTACTTTTGAAGTCTGAAGGACAAACTTTTCTTCAAAATAAATAGCCCTCCACATTTTTTTCACTGATGAAGAAGTACTAGAATTTCTAGAACAGATTGAACTATAGGATTCTACTTTTGAAGTCTGAAGGACAAGCTTTTCTTCAAAATAAATAGCCCTCTACATTTTTTTCACTGATGAAGAAGTACTAGAATTTCTAGAACAGATTGAACTATAGGATTCTACTTTTAAAGTCTGAAGGACAAACTTTTCTTCAAAATAAAGAGCCCTCTACATTTTGTTCACTGCGCAAAAACTACCACAAAGGTCTGAATTATTTGTAATGGAACTGATGACGAGCAGCTGATTCGTCA